CTTGATCTGCCAATACTTCGTCATTCATTTGGTGACTTACCTCGTGCTATTCATACTATTTTATCCTCTGTCATTCTACTGATGTGTTCGTTCCACTCCTGTTTTCGTTTTGTCACCCATCCATTTATTTCTTCTCTTTTACATCCTCTTCTTATGTTTTCGCTTCTCTCCCTATCCAACAGACTGTTTCCTGATATTCGTCGGAGTATTTTCATCTCTGTTATTTCTAGTAGTCGTCTTGTTTAGATGTGTCAGTTCTTGTCTCCGCCGTGTATGTTTAATATAGGTCTAATTCCTGCTTTATAGATTCTTGTTTTTGTGTCTTGTCTTAGGTGTTTGTTCTTCCAGATTGTGTCATTAAGAGATACCGCCGCTTTACTTGCTTTTAAGCTTTGTTGTCGTACTTCTTTTTCAACACTTCCGTAACTAGATATATCTATTCTCAGACATCTAAACCTTAATCTCTGCTTTATTATTTTCCCATCAACTTTGATTTTAAACCGTAGTGGGTATTTAGATGTTATCATAGATTTGGTTTTTTCGGCTTATATTATTATAGCAACAAACTTAAAGGCGATAAAGCTTCAATAATTAGTTAAGTATTAGTTGTTATTAGTTAGTATAAGCATTATGGTGAAGACGGAGAAAACTACCAGAACTAGACTTTTACAATAACATCCTAAAGCAAACTGCTGCAAGTACAGAACCAAGAGTGACAAGATTTATGTGAAAATGAAAACGACACTAAAATCATTTAATTTTTTACCTATTTTCAATGTTGTCTTAGTTTTTTTAATAAAAGATACTTAAAACTAAATTTTGTTATTTACAAACCTTTGTTAATATTTGTAACACAATATTATGTGTTTAATTAACATACTTTTCATAAAAAAAACTTTCAGTCATTAATTTATTTGCAAAAAACATTTTTTTTTTAAATCTATGAGATTTAAATTTACTTAGGATTAATGGATATATTGTTTTAGCTATTTAATAATTCGAAGATATAATTTACATGAAAGTAACAATGTTTTTTGTTGCTTTTGAAAATAAAATCAAATAGCAAAAAGAATTTTTGCAAATACCGCCCTCATAAATACGGGAATCATAAATCATTTCGAGAAAGCAGTTTGTTGCAGTTCTTCTTCTTAAGGTGCCCTCTCCATTATTAAAGGTTAGCTATAACTACAGCAAATTGATTTCTATCTTGAGCTGTTCTTAGTAACTAATGTGTGTCCGTGCCTGTCCAGTCTCAAACATTTTCAGTCAGGAGCATTTTCTTCTTTCTGGACTTCTTCTTCCTTCCACTTTCCTTTTCATTATCAGTCGTAGGAATTTTTATTTTTCTCCTCTGTAAATATGTCCTAGAAAACTCGTTTTTCTGGTTTTTACAATATTTAGGAGTACTTTCTCAGTACACATTCTTCTCAGCACCTCGTTGTTGGTCACGTGATTTGTCCAAAAGATCTTCAGCATGGTTCGAAAACCGACATCTCAAAGGCTTCTACACGTATTGTCTTGTTGCAGCAGGCGACACTTTTATAAGCCTTTTTGCTCGATTTTGTTCTGATGCGTTAGACCAATATAATCTTATTTAATTGAGTTCCATTGTCCGAAGTTGATTTTTGATGTAGTTTTTCGATAGTTTACAGAAGGGTTCTGGAAACTGAAATGGGGTATTAGCTCCTTCTTTTGTGAGGCTGTCAGCGCTTACTTATTTCCTGTAATGCTCTGGTAGCCTGGCGATCCCACCAAAGTTACTTTGTTGCGTTCCGCCAGTTTCTTAAGGGATTGTTCACAGCCCCAAACTAACTTTGCCTCAAAAGTAAATGACTATAAAACTGAAAAAATAAAGAACTTTGCCCTAAGAGTGTCTCAGTTCTTAGGCACTAATGTTTTAAGCACGTATTTCTACCTGAAAGATGTTTTGAAGCGTTTCTTTCCAAAGAAATTTGGAGAGCTTAAAATTGTCCCCAGTAACTCCTACTTCTGTCCTTTTATCTATCTTATCTCCGACCATATTACATACCAGTGAACCTTCTTTCAGATTCTGTTCAACTTCTGCACTCATTTGGTGGTTTTTATGACCACTCCAATGGTTGTTTCGTAGTCGAATTTGATGGAATTCTTCTAAGATTTTTAAGTGTCCAACTAGATCACCAAACTTTATTATTTGTATCTGTCGCAGTTTTCAGACGGTGGCTACTTCCTCCCTCTTTAGGTAGAATTGTAAGACAGGAAGATTCGATATCACCTCTAGAGCTACAGTGAAGCATGTTTACATTGCTCTTGTGATTCCCAGACAAGCTATCTGCTGCCGTTTTTGCAGCTTGGCGTTAGTTGTTAGCTGTTAGCTGACCAGAGGGTCATTTTCGGTTTAAGGTGTCGAGCCTTTCCAAAATTTTTGAAGCAGGTCCAACTTGCCACCAAGGCTCTGAATAAGATTTTTGCAATATAACTATTCCTTGTGAGTTTTTGATCTAGGTATGATTTTTTTTATTACCCTTAGATATTTTATTTCTTTGGAATAGTCTAATGTAATCCCATATAGTAATATTCGAACACATGTCCATAAAGTCTATTGGAACCTATAAATTCTTAATAATGTCTTCTTGTGAAAGGCATCAAACTCGTTTTGCTGAGGTTGACTTTTAAGAGCTCCTTCGAGCATCAACATTTTATTTCGTTAAGAGCAGTTTGCATGAGATTAAATATAGTCTGGTCATGCTTGCCCCTAATTGTAATAACTAGGTCCTCTGCAAAACTTTGGGTTGCAAAATTAGTGTTATTTAACTTATTGAGAAGGTCAGAGGCCACAGCAGGGGCGATTGAACTCCCCCTTGAAGACCTCTCTTTTGCTGTCAAGTCACAGATTCTAACCCAATACTAGCAATGATGATTCTTGTTTTTAGCAGTGACCAAATCCATTGTATTAGTGAGGCTTCAATGCTTCTCTTTACCAGTGCTGTTTATATAGATTTTAATGATCCTTCTATGCCAATAAAGAGCAAAGAGCTATGTTTTGTTGAATTCTTGCTTTTAATTTGAAGTTGTTCTAACATATATTTCGAGTTGTTATTTTGACAGCAAGATATGTAGTAATACAGCACTACCATTTCATTTTGAAAACAATTAAAAAATCTCCCTCTTTAAAAATTTGATCGGCGTCTTTGCGTTAAACCAAATCGTTTTTGTATTACTTTTAATTAAATAGGGAATTATGGGGCGGAAAGGATTTGCTACTTTTAATTAAGAAGCGATTTTTGCAGGGAAATATCTTCACGGAAGATCTTTCTTCGGTTTTCGTTATTGTCTCTAGAAAAGCAATTTGCAAAATGAGGTTTAATAACTTAACTTAAGTGTGATGAAAAGATCTGAAGAGAAATTGATATATTTTTTATTACGTTATATTAAAATCTATTTTATAGTTATACCTCTTATTCGTATGAACATGTTGTGTTTGTTTTATAAATGGATGTTTCGTGAAAGTTTATCTATTTTCAGTCTTTTTGTATGCTCTACTTAACACTTTGAGTGTTTTGTTTGTCTTTATTGGAGAACCATATCTAAATGAAGCCAAATGTACGTTTTAAAATTTTTGTAAATCTTCGTTTCTGCGAATATTATTTTTTGCAAAGTTTTTGTGTTCTTTGTTTCTGTTAAATTTTTTTTAAGTTAGTTCTAAATTTTATGAGTAAACTTAAGTACATATACAATAACATCTTTAATACTACATATTAAGTTAGAACTGATGAAGCTTTAGAAGTATAAAGCGAAACGTCTATAAACTTGTAGTTGACTTCTGTTCTATTTTGCCAACCTGAATGACCGAAATAACCTCTGAATTCACTAGTTTGAATACTTTATTAATATAATATATATATATAAATATATATATAATATATATATAATATTATATATATATATATATATATATATATATATATACATAAGTAGTATAAACGCATATACATAGAAGTACATTTCAAATGGAAGATTTGGTGATGGTTACAGAATAGGTACTTGCCGGTTTTTATACAATTCGAACCATCAATTTAAGAGTTAATTATCCATTTGCAGACTTTGGGTTTACTCTGTATATATTGATACAATTTTTTAAAACTATCTAGATTTAATATTTTTAACGAAGATGTCATTGCCGTTTTCCAATTAACAGTTTTTGTTAGTAAAAACTTTTTGTCTACTACGGAAATCTTATAAAATATTGTGACACTATAAAGGGACAACATCTTCTGGCTTCTTTCATCTGATAACCAATAGCGGATATGTGACGTATGATTATTGCACACTGTTCATCTGCTTTGCTATCAGATCGTAGAATGTCACAGCCCACTTGTTTCTTCCGGTGACAGCACATCTTGCGGCTTCGCTAGTTTTTTTTTTTTGCCTTTTACTTCAATGAGATTTATATTGAAAGATTAAGTAATAGTAGAGGTAATTATATAAAAAAGAATAATATAGTCAATATTAAAATAAAATTATGGTTTATGTAATTAATGTAACAACAAAACAAACAAACTGGGACATTTTCAAACCGGACATCTCCTGACTGAACATATATTCCCGATATCATTCTTAAAAATGACAATCACCAGATATATCGGAACCGTACTACACACAGCTCAACCAATGATATTTAATACACAATTAGTCCCAGATTCCTTACTAAGTAATCAAGTAATTAACAAACAACACTTATTGATGTGACGATACTTAATAATAATAATCTGCGTCAACAACAACAACGAGAAAATCGCCAACATCGTAACATAAAAATAAGAAGATAATGGAGAAAGTACTCAGACGATACCTACTATCCTGTCTACTATTGGTGTCATTTCGACGAACTCCTAGAGAATATCAAACATCTCAGTTTTAGTGAATCTTTATCTATAACTCCATACAGTCCCCAGACCTGAATCCTTTTGATAACAGAGATAGCTGTGATTTAATTTTCCGTATGACTAAATAAAAATAGTATGGCTTATAAAGGTAAGTCATAAAGCATGTATAGTCTAGTCATAGGCATGGAAAACAGGATGTAAGAAAAATTCTTTTTCATCATTCATCAATAGTTTTCTGTAAATCTCTTAAGTCTTCTGGCCATAAACTAAAGTTTTATTTTATTGGTTGGTTGATAGTTCTCTTACTTATTACATGACTTTTGATGTGACCTATAATATGATGTCGATATTTATTTGCTCTTAGAGTTATCATTTCAGTTACATATGGTATTTATCATTATAAAAAATTTGGCTGAAGACATCTTTTTTTTGTCAACCATTTTCCATCCACTCCTGAATGTCCCAATTGTTTCCATCTTTCTCTATCTTGAGCCAATCTAATCCACTGTTTGCCTGCCACTGCTCTTATATCATCTACCCATCATTTTTGAGGTCATCCCATGCTTCTTGTTGTCGTCCTTGCTCTCCATTCTATAATTCTCCGTCTCCACAATGTTCATTATTATAATTTCTCTATCTTATCTCGGTATCTCTCAGTGATATTCCAAGCATGATTCATGTCATTACTCTTTGCGTTGTTTCTAATTTTTTAACAAATTTTTTTGGTAGGGCTACTGTCTCCAAGCCGTAGGTACAAACTGGAAGTATGCATGTGTTATACACCTTTTTCTTTAAAGTTTATAGGAATGGAGATGTTTTTCAAGATATATGCTAGTTTGCCGAAAGCGCCCCATGCCAGTTGTTTTCTTCTTTTAATTTCAGCTTCTTCAGTTGGTTTTTCCTAATTTGATGACATGACCTAGATACAAAATGTTCAACATTTTCTATGCTATGATTTTGTATTGTTGTATTTGTCTGGTCTCGGCTGAAGACGTACCACTTAACATTCTGGGCATTGTTTATTGAAACTTTTGAAGAATATTTTTGTTAGATGGTTTACTATATCCCAAAATGTCTATAACATGTCTCCAGATTGTTTTTACCATGACCTTGTATATGGTTCTTCTGGTAGTTGAAATTTTCTATTTACTAGGCAACTTATAATTTAAAATTTAAACTCAAGTATATGCTCTTACTTTTTTTGTTTCATCTTTAAGTTAATTTTTCATCAAGATGAAGTTCTAGATATTTTTACTAACAGTTTGTCAGACGCGATGGAATTTTAAATCTCGGTTAGTTTTCACTGTAGCAGATTTTCGTGAACAGCTTTTGGAAGTTTTTGATTTTATTATTGTATGTGACGATTTTGAAAGTGATATCTCGATCCGTGAAGCAATCGGTTTGAAAACTTTTTAAATGATTACCCTTTAACATACTTTAAATATTTTTAAGAAAGTGTTTACCCAAACCGATTTGATATTCATGTTTTCAAATCAGTTAACTGACATTATTCATTCCAAAAATAGAATAACAAGACTGGTGCAAAATCTCAGAGATTTTCGTAATGATAGTAATTTCCAGTATATACGCAGTGACGATTTGGACTCGCTGATATTTCCAAACCCCCAAAAAAAGGCAAAGACATGACACAGAAACAGATCTCGAAAAACGAGTATATTTTGAAATTTTGGATTCTATTATTATGCAAATAGATACTCGTTTTTTTTCGAATTTTGAAGATTTGCAAATTTTTGACCTCTTTGACGATTCAAAATTTAAAAGTTACGCCAAAGATTTCCAAGATATTTATTAGACTGGTTAATTAAAAATTATCCATCATTCTTTAATAAAATAAAATTAGAAAATGAATTAAAAGTTTTTATATGCTGATCCAAATATTTTCGGAAGATGGGATAAGTTACAAGATATGTATAATTTTATATACTGCAATTCATTACAAGAAAATGTCCTGGCTCCGAAACATAAGGCAATGGACAGGGATTAACGACATCCAATCTCTGATACATATTGCAAGAAATAGAGAATTAATGGAAAATGTGATCGCTAACATCCATTAATGGATTTGCATCTGAAGAGGAAGAAGAATTCATTACAGCAAACTGTTACCGAAATTAATAAATTATTGTCACTAATTCTCTCATTACCACCAACGTCTGCCTCAAATGAACGAGATTTCTCTTGCCTCAAAAGAATCAAAACGTATTGTCGAAATGCCATGAAACAAGAGAGAATGTCAAGCTTGTCTCAAATGTCAATAGAAAAAAAACTTTTAAGATCGCTCCAAAACTCGATGACAAAATTTTACGATGACGTTTATTACCCTTTTTTGCTACTTCCAAACAACGTAGACTAGAGTTAATTTATAAACATGTTTAGGTTCTAAATTTATAGGAAAAAACAAAAAAAAAACAAGAAAACAAAAAATCTCCTATGATGATTGAAGTCTTTTTGTTTTGATTTGATTGATTTTGTTTTGTTTTTAGATATTCGGCTAAATTTTTACCTAAAAAATCTAGACGTGTTTATAGAAATAAGTTCTTGAAGTTCAATTAATTAACTAGGAGGGATCTGCAATTTGTTCATAAAATATTTTTTACAAGATGCTATCATATTAAAATGTTTAATGAGGTGATGTTAAGAGACCGCAGAGAAGAAGAAAATGAGCAGAGAGAAATGTCAGTAGCTCAATTTCTTAAAAACAGGTATCAATAAATAATAGATTAAAAAAGCAGGGTGACGAATGGATTGGTGTATGCAGAAGAGACTTTAAGCAAATTTTGGGTGTTAAAAAATATAGAAGATGTGATAAAGCGATTTTTTTTTGGGTCAATCTACCATGTAATATTAATATCAGATCTGAATCAGGATCTGAAAGACATTGACTAGAGGCTTTGTAGAATGAACAATTTTTAATAGATCAAAGTATCAAAGACAGAGTATCTTAAAATAGGAGATGATGAAGAAGATCAAGAGTTGGAAATTAGAAACACAAAACATGCAATATCAAGAAGAATCGAACCTTGATAGAGAGTATTATGACTTATGGGGCAGAAGTTTGGCAGATCACGAAAAAAGACTGAAAAAGAATAGAAGTAGTAAAAGTGAATTTTCTAGTGAGAGCGTGTGGGGTATCCAAAAAAGATCATATCAGGAATAAAGATATTAGAAGAAGTAAAAATACTGTATATTCCAGTGTAGACAGAATTGAAATGAGACAACTAGTGCGTAATGGTCACGTAAAGCGAATAAATGGAGATAAATAACCAAAGAAAACTTTAAATTACATACCATAACAAATAAGAAGATGAAGGCCTTCAATTGCCTGGAAAGAAAATCGTACTGCACATAATGAGAGATAGAGCCTTCGAAGAAGACAAATGGATAGACAGAAAACTCTGATATACTGATACTGCAGTGTTTGTAGGAAATACTAAGGATTTAGAAGAGATCTAAAAGAAAAAGGTTTAAAGCTTTAAGGACAAAATACAGAGTTTTTTATTTTAACTACGGAGCAACACATTCTAAAACTTTGAAAAACTTGAAGTACAAAAAATCACATATACACGTTTTATTGCTCCATTTTTTCGTTTTCTTCAGTATGTTTTAAAAATTTTAAATGTTTTTTAAATGTAACAGTAAGACACTGAAAACTTTGTTTTCAAACTTCGACAAAAATTTATTTTAACTCTTATCACTACAGCTGTTTCGGCTGATTGCCTTTCTCAAGTTTTTTTTAAAGCTGAATTCTGCGCCAAAAAAATTAAAAACATACCTAGTTAATGTTGTAGATAATGAAAAACCTGCTAAGTGGAAAATATAGAAACTCTTACGAATATTGGAATCAGAGATAGAGTAAAACCAGAGTTAAAAAAGTCCGCAAAACTATTCTCTATATATCTTTTACTTATAATCCTGTCAAGCTTATTCTAGACTTTAAATTGCATAGTCCGTTTCTCAGTATAAAAAAACTATAACCAACGTAAGACTATATAAATTAAAGCTTTTTTCCTCTTCGCAGTCCATAAAACATCCAAAATCCCCAGACAAACGCCATTATTTATAACTATATCACATCACACAACCGTGTCGAGGCACATAAAGGTATCACCTTTCGAGGATCTAAAAAATTCTTAAGCATATATTTCCTGTCGCTGGAAAGAAGTGCTCCCCATCTATTCCCGCTCCTTAGAATGATTGCTCAAATTTACATTTAGCCCCCGGATAAGCCGATAGTTACAGCCACCATCTATCTTGCTGAGTTTTTCTCAAATGCCATTTTACAGTGGCGAAAATCCACCGAAAAGAAAGCTCTCGAATGTAAATGACTGCATATATTTTAAAGTCGAACAAGATGTCTTTGCAGGCGAGAATTCTGCATTGGAATCGTTGTTTTACTGTTTTAAAATGTCAAGTCGATAGATAGATATTGACTGATAAGATTTTTTAGTATCATTCCGAAGCGATTTTCTTGTGGTATTTTCTTTTCAACATTTTTTATCTAATCATTAGATAACTTGGAAACCAAAAACTTCAAGTTTTCACTTCTACATATACTTCTAAGATACCATCACATATGGCGAGCTGTAACTATCTATTTTATAATTTTTTTTAACTCTGCCTGCAGTTTTGCTGAGTGATAGCTTAAGTTTTAGATAGCAAGTTCAGATTTAGAACCAGTTCTTATATTAGATGTTTAAAATGTGCTCCATCTACTTTCTAACTGTAATGCATCTTATTGCTAAACTCGTGTTGTACCTACTCGTTCAAATGTGTCGATGAAAATTGCCATACATTCTTAAACAATTTGTTGTTTCAAAATGTCAATACTGTCGGCTGCTGTAAAATAAAGCTTAAATTTTAAGTATCCCCACAGAAAAAAATGTAATGCTGTGTGTGAATACCATATTCCTTATTCAGGTAACGTCTTACTGCACCATAATAGTGTGCAGGAGCACCATCTCGTTAAAACGATATTTTTAAGTTGCCGTATTCATCTGGATTATTTTCCAGAATTTCAAGAATTTGTAACAACTCAATAACTCAATTGCGTTTTGATACATCTCCAGATATACTTCAGCGGTTAAATTAACATTGTGAAAAACAGGCATAAGTATGTATTTTCCCAAA